AAGCCCGAGGTTAGAGGTTCAATTCCCGTTTAGCTCAACAGACACCAGCGCTGCCAGGTTTACAGATTCCCATGCGTCTCGGTGCGGGCCACCCAGGCTAAAAGCACGTCCACCCCGTCAGGCCTGTGAATTAAGGCGCTCATCAAACAGCGCGCGTTATTTCAGGATTATTTATTTGCTGGATGGACACAAAAACGGGCAAAACTTCAACCTCCGGGGGCCACAAATACGCTGCCGTGACAGTGGGAACGGAGGCTTAAAGTCAGAACTGCTCTGTGTGCATAGCTGATGGTTAATAATTCTAACATCTGTGGGCGTACATATCTGGACATTTAAGAGGCACAGAGACACACACGGTGAAAAAGGGGGGTCCTGTTACGAGCAGCGCATGCCTCCGACCGGCCCATAAATTCATGTCAGTCTGGAAATAGACCTGTAAATATAGACGGGCCTGGCCGTGGAGGTGGGAACGAGAGAGGAAAAGGGCAGCCTCGTACCATCTTCGCTTCACATCTTACTCCCCCGCCAGCTCTCGGCCCGATAACCCTGCCTCACACTCGGCCTCACCCTTTACCACCTCATAGCCACTTGGCCGGGACGGAGGAAAGGGCAGGTTCCCACCGCCGTCATCTGAAAAGCATCACCTCTCCGGTTTAAGTGCACATCCCTCGGCTGACCCGACCGCAACCTCCCGTCGCCTCCGACCGCGCTCTCAGGGCAGCGCAGCGACCGTCATAAAACGTAACAGGACTGTTTGTTAGCCACAACGCTGCAGTTACACACGTCAAGTTTGAACTAATAGGTGAAGCTTAGTTAGTTATTTGTTCCACGACAGACGGGTTGACGCAGGAAAGCAGGAAAAAGCAGCAAAAGTTGGCATTTTGGTGAATAAATGATTTCTAATTGAATTGTTTTCTCTTCTTTTAGCTAATCCTGCCAGCGCTCTGGACGCTAAGTTAGCATCCACAAGCTTTCAACTCCAAAACGAACAAGCCGAGAAAAGACATGAGCTAAAGAAACCAACCTGCTAACCTTTATTTACATTCAGAAAATGGGTGAAAATGTCCATCAAAGTTTGCTGGTGCACAGGAGGAAAGAAATTATTCACAATTCAGAAGCTGGAATCAGAGACTTTAGACTTTTCTTTCATCATTTCTGAGCCAAACATCCCCGGTTCAGTCTCGACGAGCCTGAATCATTCATATTGTTCAACTGATCTCTTTGCAGCATGAATCTGACAAACAAAAGGTGAATTATTGCAGCGAGATTGCAATTAACAGTTGTTTTCAGTAAACAAGGAGCTTCCCATCGAATGTGGCTGCATGTTTATCCAACTCAATTTTTCTGACCAACAGGCCAAAATCTAAAAGCAACCTAAATATTCAAATACTCAGCAATCTTTTCAGGCCTTAATTACAGAAACTCTGGAGTCCTGCATCATAACAATAAAGAAATTCATCATTCAAGTACAGCTTATGGGCGACTGTAAATGTACATGTGCACGAAACAACACAACAGAACCTGACAGTCTATCAGCAACAAGCTGAAACAAGCCAACAATCACAAATAAATAAAATTAGATCTGGAGTAAACATAAAGAGCTGCAACAACTCGGGAACTAGTTCTGAACTTTTAGTTAGTTGTAACGCAAAAATACTAGATGACCGCTGTGACAATGAGAGGTGGAGCTCCAACCAGTAATCGGTTAGTCAGCTCCTCGGTGACGGTGAACGCATCATCTTGGGCTTTGGGAAACACACATTTCTCCTATTTTCTGACGTTTTACAGACCAAACAACTAATCCATTAGTTGAGAAAATAATCAGCAGGTTATCTGACAGTGAACATGTTTGGTGAAATCAGTTTTCAGCCTCAGTGTGAGCAGATTAAGTTTGAACTTCATGTTTTCTCTCATGCGGTTCAGGTTTCTGTAACTCCAGCTGATGTAAACACACCTAATTCCTGCTTCGCTGAATATTTATGGGTACATTTCCCAGGTTCACGCTGAACTTCCTCGGCAGCTGGATGGAAACACAGCCTCTCCCTCCCTCCCTCCCTCCCTCTCTCCTCCGGCTCGAGGATCCAGGTGTGCCTCTATCAGTGCAGCGCCGCAGCTGAGAGGAAGTGCATTCCTGAGCGATGATGATGCGTTTCCTCTCGGCCCCGCTGTGTGCCTTGACACGCCGCCGCCGCAATTACAGCGCCACATCAAAGGCTGCCTGCCATGACTCAGCGCATGCAAACACACACACCTACCTAGATGCAGAGCAGACTGTAAACACGCCGACACACACGGCCGCTCATACACCGTGTGTGTGTGTGTGTGTGTGTGTGTGGGCACGGATTTGTGAACGCTACCTTGAACCACATGAACCAACACACAAACACACATAAGCTTATTGCTTAATGAACCTGCTGGCAGCGGCTGAAAGTACACACAGACAGACGGACAGACGCAAACAATAGGATGTGTTTGAGCGGTTTGAGTGTCAGTTGATCTCCTGTGTTCGCGGGCACAGATTCAGCGCTGGTTTACCCGAACACACACACACACACACACACACAGCACGACGATAAACAAATGAATCAGTCGGCGCTCGCAGAGAACCCTGACTCACGCACACACAGCGAGACGGTTCGGGGAGGAGGAGGCGAGGGAAAAGCACAATATCACAGAGAAGGAGATGATCAAAGAGGAAGCGAAAGACTGGAAACGGAGTCAAAACATCCTCTTGATCCTTGTGCACGGCGTCTAGAAGCAGACCTAACCTCAGCACGGCGTTTCCTCTCTCACACGCTTGTCATCGCAGAAAAAACCTGGAAATGCAGCGAGTGGGAGACATCGGGGATTCAGAAATGTGAAACTACAGGGAGCTAAAGACAGTCGAGCCGTGTTGTAGGCCGTTGCTCTGATGATAACTTATGATTTAAACTAGTTTTTGTTGTAAACGGATATAAACAGTCAGAAAAGCTGATGGACAGAACATTCGTCTGCAATGTTATTTATGACTTCTCTAAGAAATGAAATCCACTCAAATGCGAGTGTTTGTTTCAGCACTACATGTACAGTCAATATACAGAAAAACAGCTGTTTAAGAGTTGATTTGTCTGGTAAATCTGAGCTGCAATATGACAAAAATTATCAATAACAGACATTTCTGACTTAAAATGGTTGTTTTTAAAATTATCTTAGATTCTTTGGACACTAAGCAGAAAGTCAGACCAGGATCAAACCACAGTGGCTACATCCACCCGATATGTTTTTGTTTTAAGATGAAATTTTGAATAAAGGAAAATGATTCCTCTCCAGATGAGCATTTCAGCTGCTTCACAATCACAAATTGAATATAGAGCAGCACTTCCCAAAGTCTCATTTTCAGCGGTTCTCGTGTGGCAGCTAAGTGAAAACGTGTTAGTAAGACATAAAAACTGCAGAAAGTTTTATGGTACCTGCTGCACCACTGGCTGATGGAAGAAAAACAGTCAAAACACTAAAACTCATCAGGAGCAGACAGTTGAAGGTTCAGCTCCAGGGTTCACGGCGCTGTGTGCTGTCGGGAGGATCAAGCTGATGCAGTTTTTTTTTATTTGCTGGACGGAGCCCTGCGTGATTTTTGAAACGCAACACAACTTTCCACCGTTTCAGACCGAAGCGCCACAAGTTCAGGCAGCGACTACTGTAAATCACATCCACAAAAGGCACTTAAAGGAGTGAGTCACTGTGTTTGGACAGGATCTCACAATTTTCAGTGCCACATGAGGAAACTTACAACTGTATAAATTAGCCCTTCCTGAACTTCTAGTGCTTCTGACAGGAGAAACGGCGAGGGACTGAGTTTTAAAAGTTGAGAAAAAGTCACATTCTTCAGGCAAAAATGGCAACAACTGATGGTTACAGCTTCTCAAATGGGAGGATTTGCTGCTTTTCTTTGTTGTATGTGACAGTAAACCACATCAGTGACATGCATTTTCCACTTTTTCTGCATCGTTAAAACATAAACTGACAAGAAATATTATCTGCAGATTAACAAAGACAACAATCATTAGCAGCAGCATCACAAACTGTGGTCTCAAATAGTAACGCCTCTAACAATCTCAACAAAAGGTGAAACTGTTAACAGGTTACTATGCTGTCAGGTGTTTTGCCATCATGCTGCCTGTACCTGCTGGCGAGGGACACTTTAATGTTTAGTATAAATACACAGATTTTAATCAAAGATGTAAAAAAGCGTCTCAAGTGACAGCGTTGCAGCAGACAAAAGGGTTTAAACACACAAACGCCCACACATTACTGCACTGCATACATGCTGACACAAAGAAAACAGCGGCACGTGCACAGACAGGCACAGAGAGACACCAACGGCTCCAGAGACGGGAAGTCAGGGCCTTTTTGGGCGATTCAGTCCACACTTGACCTCAGTTAAACCTCCGTTCATTCAGCACGCTAATCGTCTACCAGTCTGCTGGACTCAAAACATACACAGACCTCAAGATGAACCACATATTGGTGCCACTTCCTGTACCAGCACTGTTATAGCCCAGACTTCAGCTCCCAAGACAGATGCCTTCAAAGACAACGGCTGGCTGCTCAAAGCGCCTCGACGCAGCCTTGTCAAGATCACAGAGACGTGATTCAAAATAGATTCACTAGAGGAGCTGCAAATTGATATAATGCGACTAATAATAGCACACAGCACTCAGGGTTATTTTGGATTTCAGAGAGGAAAAAATATCCCTAACACTTACTCTCTTTTACTCGCACATGAGAGCTCATTCTCACACACACAAAGCAATAAAAAAAATTTAAAAAAAACTCTGCTTCTCCACACACTGGCTGGCTGCTGCGTAAACTCCAGGAAACCAACTAAAGGTTTTAATGCATAAAGCTAGAAAACAGCCCGTAAAGATTAACTGTCAGAGTGGAGGAGACAAACACATCCTGAGTGGCAATCTCTCAGCCTGACACACAGAGTACACAGACATGCTCTTGTGCTAACTCACCCTTGGTTGTTGTAGTGACTCCATCTGATTTGGTGAAGTCGATACTGGCATAGGCTCCGTTCTCCGGCAGAGGCACCGTCCCCGCCGCCGCCACCGCCGCGCTCCCGTTACTGCTACCGGCTCCCGACGTCATGGCTCCCACGTTACTCCCGTCCTCCCGCAGCTCCAAGGCAATGTAGTTGAGGCCGTTCTGGTAACCAACGGACATGTTCCTGCACATTCTACTGGCTGCAGCCCCCGAGGAGGAGGAGGAGGACGCTGAGGTCCCGGAGGCCATGCCCATTTCTGTGGTTCTTGCCGGGGCGTGGTGAGCCGGCGAGTCCCCCAGACCCTCCACGGACATCCACACACTGTCGAACGATGCCGAGCTGGCCCATCGGGAAGTCTGACCCTCCGTTAGGTAAGCTCCGTTGGGGGCTGCTGGATTAGCCAGTGAGGGGTGGGTGGCTGAGGATGAGGGGCCGAGTCCTCCTCCAGGGGGAGTTGAGTTAGAGGAGGAGGTGGAGGAGAACGTCTCCGAGCTGTGTCTCCTCCTGCCCTGGGGGTCGGCTCGAACCACCTTGGGCTCCAGCTGGTGTGTCGGCGCCCTACCTGGGCTCGACGGAGGGATCGGAGGAGAAATGGAAGAGGAGGAGGCGGAGGGAGCGTGGCCATAACGTCCCTCCATCACACAGAGATGCTGCAGCATGGCTGTGGGGCTTGTTTGAGTCCTCTCACCTCTGCTGAGGTTAAATGTCATGTCCGTGTAGTCGTCCCCGATCGACCTCCAGTGACCTCCGGCCTGGACTCCAGGGGAGGCCAGCGCCCCAGGATTGATAGCCAGGGGTCGGATGTAGCTGGGTGGGTTCCAGGGGGCAACAAGGCTGGGCCTGGGTGACTGGTTCTTACCCAGACATCCAGCACTGTCCTGCTGATCTGCCCCCACCTCCACACTCATATAGTCCTGGTGAGTTTGGGGCTGGGGAGGGGAGTGACAGTGATCACTGGATCCCAGGGAAGGCGCTTCGTCTTGGGCAGAGAGAGGGTAGGCGGGGGGCTGCTGTTGGTGAGGGTAGTGATCCCCAAACTCAATGTTAATATACTCTCCAGGACTGGAAGGTCCTTCAGATGAGCTGCCAGTGGCGGGGACTGAAGTGGAGGTGCCTGCAGACGCCGTGGAGGGCTCACTAACCCGCAGCGGACCATGGAAACTCCTTCTGCCTAAAGGGAGGCGGTTGGGCCTCACTATGCGTCTGTCAGCCATCGCTGCAGTCGTATGGTGGGCTCCATAAGGCGGAGGTGGGTGAGAGGGGGTGGATGTGCTACTACCTCCTCCACCCCTCTTCTCAGGTGTTGACACTGAAGCTGTGGCAACTGATGAATAGACTGGCTTGGCAGGAGAACTCATAGGAACATATTCCCCATATTCTTTTTCATCTCTCTCTCTGGTGGGGGCCTTATAGGAGCGAGGGAGGGAGAAATAAGGGCTGTAAGACTTTGGGGTGCCCTCAGGTGTGCCAGATGTGTAATACCCACTGCTCCCTTCATTTGAGTGCTTGCGACCACCGCTGCTGCTGTACGACATGTCCATATATTCACCGTTCTCGGGTCTCTCTGCTATGCTGTCGCTCCCACCAGCACCTGCCATGCTGGAGCTGCTGTGAGGGCTGGGAGAGGCCTGCACCGGGGAGGGGGAGCTGCCACTGCCCCCCGGGAGCATCATCATGTAGCCGTGGGAGTCTGTGGAGGATTGAGGCTGGAGCTGTGGGTGTTGGTGGGCTGAACGGGCTAAAGCTGGACTGTGAAACTGAGGGGAATGGGAGATGTGATGGGAGTAAGAACCGGGTTGCATAGGCATGTAGTCGGGGGGAGTGTCCCGTGGAGACGCAGCCACGCCGCACATCATGGGCATGTAGCCGCTGTCCTCCTTGGCAGAGGAAGAGGAAAGAGGAGGGCGCTCGGCTCCGGCCTCCGTCCGGGAGAGCGTGGAGGGTCGGCTCTGCTGGCTGTGCTCGGAGCAGGAGCTGTAGTCGGAGCGGAGCGAGGAAGAGGAGGAGGACGGCCCTCCGCGGAGCAGCCCACTGCCGAACGGCAACACCACGTCTGAGCCCTCCTCCAGTGAGAAGTTGGTCTGGGTCATTTTCTGATAAACTGCCACTCCAGAGCCGCCCGTCGCACCGCCAGCAGGTCTGGAGAAAGAGTGCGTCCTCCTCCTCAGTGATGATGAAGAGAAGCGCTCATCCTCTGTTGTCGACGTGCTCTCGTCACGTGGCGTGTCGCCCCCACTGTTGTTTCCAGAGCCCCCGCTGGTGCCAAACACCTCCCGGTTCCAGCCCATGGCCATGTAATCATTCAGACAGTTCTCCTCTCTGATTGGTGGGGTGTTGCCCAAAGAATCAGGCGTGTTACTCCGCACACGGAAGTACCGGAAGTCGCCGGGGCTGGAGCCGTACTCGTCTGAGGAGTTGAAGCCGCCGTCAGACGGGGAGCCACATATCGAGGCGCTTGATGGGCGGGTGAGTGTGTCGGAGACGGAGCCGTGGCCGCTGCTGGAGGAGACGCTGACAGGGCTGGTGGTGGAGGGGAAGTGGGAGACCGGCAGCGAGGCGGAGCGGGCGTGATAGGTGGATGTTGAACCTGGGATAGCTCTGACGTAGCGCCCGCTGCCGGTGCTCGTGCCAGCGTTTCCTGTGGCTACACCACTGCCACTGCTGCCGCCGCTCCCCTCCTGGCGGCCGTGGTGGGCCCGGGCTGAGTTCAGGTGGACCAGGCTTCCTGTGGCGGAGCGGAACGGCCGGTTCATCGTCCCCTCGCCCTCGCTGGACGTACGGAAGCGATACCCACTAGCCCCGGAGCTTTTACTTGAGGGCGGCGTCCCAACGACTGACTCTGTCCTCGACCGCCGCTGCAGCCCGGTCTGGCTCGGCGGCAGGTTGCCCAGGTGGCGCCGTGTTGTGATAAATGACATGGGGTTGGAGCCCGAGGACTGGCTCTTGCTCCGGGGCCGAAACTCTGCAAAAGCTTTCAAGGCTTTCATTGTCTCCAGGATGGTCTCGTGCATGTTTTGGGCCACGACAGAATCATCCACCTGCATCCATATCTCCCCAGGCCCGATAGAAGAGGAGCGACCCACCTCGATGAAAAAGAAGCTTTCTGAATGTCCACAGCGCCTGATGTTCATCAGCTGGAGGTTCACACAGGGCGTCTCAGAGTTCAACTTAACGAGGTGAATGGTTTTAGTTGAGAGGCATAGCCGGTAAACACCTGTGAGGTTTTTAGTTTGACCCAGTCCTTTAGGTTTCACATTCACCTGCCACACCTCTTTAAACACAGTACCGGGGGTGACTGTACCGTATCCATCATCCAGATCATCTGAATCCAAGTGGCCCTTCTTGCCTTCACTCATCAGCTCACTCACAGCCACATACCAGTCCTCCTGCTCCTGCTCGTTCTCGGCCACGATGGCAAAGTACTCGTCCTTAGTGTAAAGGGCAATGAGGTGTTTGTTTTTGGAATCCGCCCTTTTGTTCACCGTGAAGCACTGATAGAGGTAAATCACCCTTTTCGGGGGAGAAGGGGCGACCGCTCCACCGCTGGCGGCGGCCGCGGCAGCAGAGCGCAGGCTGTTCCTGAATTTCTTCTCGCTGTCGTAGTACTCCAGGCGGCTCGGCCCGAGGTGGCTGGCAGCCCGGAGCACGAAAAACCTCTTGTGTCCATGCTTCTGCTTTCTCAAGTAGCCACACTTTCGAATATCATCCACAACGTCCGAGGCATTGGCGACATTCACAGCCGCGTATACATGGCTGCTGCTGCTGCTGCCGCCGCCGCCGCTGCTGCTGCTGCTGCTAGCGGCGCAGGAGGCGGCGGGGTCCTCGGCGGCGTGTACCTGGCTCAGGGACGAGGAGGAGGCTTTCCTGCCCGGCGACTCTGCGATGTTCTCCCCGGAAAGATGCTGCTGCGGGGCCAGCTGGTAGTGATGGTGCTGCTGTTGATCCTTTGGCGGGTGGTGGTGGCTGAGGTGGTGATGGTGGAGGTGGTTGGAGGGCGGTAAGTGTTGGTGGAAACGAGAGCCGCCTCCTCCTCCTCCTCCGCCGCCGCCGCCGATATTAATTAACGGGGAAGGGGGTTCCCCGACCGAGCCGTCTCCGTTTGCGGTGGCGGCCGCAGATTTCGTCCCCACGTCCCTCTGCTGCGTCTCCACCATCAACATCGCTGCCTTGCCTTCCTGGTAATTCGTGAAATTTGCCATCAGAGAATACAATCAAAGGTCACTTTACTAGCAAGCTAATCCGAGTGGACCTAGACCCCATTCTTGTTTTGGGAGACGAGCTCCCGAGTCCGGCTAGGCCAGCTAACGTTGACTCGCACGGCTCAGATTTGCAATCCTCACAGACCGGCTTTGTTATTCCGTCAAAAAACGACTCCCTTTGGCCCTCAAGCAGCCGGGCAGGTATTCCAATGCGGGCTTTTTTCACGAAATAAAGCCTACCGTGTGCAACATGACCACGTTCAGCGGTGTTTCTATAATCGGGAGGATCCGGCTAGCTCGGTTAGCAATCCGTTCCCTTCTCCTCCTGTACACATCTCTACGGGCCACAGCACAAACAACACATGACCCTCTGCGTCACCCAGCAAACGGGAGGAACAAAGAGGCAGGCGCGGGCTCTGATTGGCCCATCACTTTGACTGACGTCCGTTGACAGGAGCCCTGTCCAATCGTTGAGAGATATTAGTGCTTTGCGTCAATGGCTCTGACCAATCGCGCCGCAGAGAGTTTACTGAAGTTTTAAAGTGGGCGGTGACTCTGAGGCTGATCTGGAGCCTGTTGTTAGCTGATCCGGCGACTCTTTAGGTTGCAGAGAACTGATCCCAGACCTGCAGTCGTTCCCCTGTAGAGACGAGTCTTGGGTCAACTTCTGTATTTTAGTTATTTATTTTAGATCGAATGTGCAGATTAATGTAATTTGATGTTATATTTAATTTTAATAATAATGTCAGGTAAGTAATTCAGTTTCTAATTGTTCTTTCCAAATCCACAAACTGAAGTGGTTTTAATAAGTTTGCTGTTGATCTCAAACAATAAGGCGAAAAAAAAACGAAAAGCAGTTGCATGTGAGCCATTACTACTCTGGCACCATATCTTATCTATTTTTTTCGCTCTCAAAATAAAATATACAAAAAATTCTGTAAATTAATCACAGATCAGAAATAGGTTTGTAGGTGTTTTTAGCTCCATTTCTACTATTAAATTTATCCAACAGTTGTAGCTGTTGATTTAGATTTAATATGCAAAACATTTTTAAAGCTACAACATGAAAAACACTGACTGAGGCCAATCTTGACACAATAAAATAAACATGAAACTCAGAATAATAGAACCTTTTGTAATCTAGTGCTTCACAGGTGACAAAAAAACCCATAAAATATAGATTCATTAAAGTGAGAACATTAGAAACAAACGTTAACAGTGACAAAAAAAAAAGTCTATGAAGCAGAAATAGTTGAAACGTAAATGCAGTAGCTGCACTTTCTCAATCTAAAGTGTATTTTCAATTTTACTTGCAACTGAGTATTTCCACACCGCTGCTACTTGAGTAAAGAATTTGAAAACTTCTTCCACCCAAAAAAAAAAAAAATCCAAATGTGTGTTGACATCCAGAAAGTAATCTGCTCTTCGTACACACTGGGGCCACACTTGGCCTCCGTCTGACCTCTGAGAATGATATTAGGTTTTTTACCTCGGGGAAGCTACGTGGCGCTAAACGCTTATTAAGAGAGCATGCATGTGTGACAGCAGAGATTTAAGCCCCTCTATCCGGCCCGGATAGAGTAATCAAGGAGGACTCCCCCCTCAGCCCAGGGGAGGTATCTGTGTTCTTCCACACTGCCGAGAATGCCACGCTCGGCTTTCCGAGCCTCTACTACACTTTGCGTGCAACAATTTGCTGGACCCTTTTATCCCAAACACCTTTCAGTATCATGAGTGGGATCATGTGCAGTGCAGCTGGCCTCAGTGGGAGTCAGCGCAGGACCACCTGTCTGCCTTCCAGTGTGTCGGCTGAATGACAAAGACCTGCAAAGTCGCTTAGTACACCTCTCCCTATTTATATCATTTAAACCTTTTAAAAAGTGGTGCAGCCTTACAGGAAGATGTTTCTTTGCTGTCTTAGCCGGCAGACGAGGTCAGTATCAGTGAAGCTGGCAAAGCAATCTGGCAGTTGTTCTTTCAGCCATGAAACTGTGTCGCTTCTTGTCCTCGTCGCCTTAAAAGTCAAGATTTAAAGTTTATTAGTAAATTTGATGTTTGTAATGTTTCTAAGGTCAAAGTTTAGAGTTTAGCACCAAACACAATGAAATGTTTGTGTATTCAGCACATCAGCATAAAGGCAGAAACAGTCAGCGTCGCTCAGTCAAACAAAATCATCATGTTTACTGACTGTATGTCGTATGTTTTACACAAAGACGTAAAAAACATTTTTGGTTTACAAGCAGTTGATCAGATAAAAGTAGGATTGAAATGGGGCTTCAATAGTCCTACAAACTACCAACTATATCCATGAACTTAAAAAAAACAAAAACAAAGGGTTAATGTAAGTCAACTGAAAGAACTCTAAACTCCTAAATGAGAATAGTTCTCTTTTCAGAATCAACTGCTGCTGCTGGACAGAAACACATCAGACCGATGAGGACACAACTAGCCCACCTGTGTGCAACAAAATGGGTTAAAATGAGCATAATATCGGATTAAAATAGCAATAATTCAATGAGAACATCAGGCTACTTTTGCTCACCATGCTAACTTCACTTCAGAAGTTCCCACCATGTTGCAGCATTTGCACACTAGTCCACCGCTGATTAGCATGCAAGCTAAGAAGATATGACCTGTAAGTAAGCTCAGTTTGGGGCATGCAGAGGGCACATTTACCAGTTTTGGTGGAGGCTAACTGTTTTCCAGTGCTCCCAGTCTTAGAGCTAAGCTATAAATACGCCCTTGCCTTATTTATCTTCTGCAAACACACAGGGAGGAATTTGATACCAGATACGGTGGCCAAACCCGGACTGAAAGTAGCCTAAACGAAGGAAAACTGGATGTTTGAAGGACAACTTTGAGAAGGAATCCTGCTGTGGTTCAGTCCGACAGCGCTGCTGAAGCATCATCCCTCCGCCGGCTTGTATAAGCCCGTGTCTCTCTCACTCTTTCACCTCTTTAACCTTTTGTTCCGGAAAAACTGGACAGCATTATGACAGCCAAAATACCAGCCTCCAGTCTCTCTCACAATGACGCCTAGCTACCAGTCGAGCCGACGGGCAACCCAACTCTTCCCCGGGGGAAATATCAGCTGCTTTTCAAAGGAAGGCTGCTTCTGCTAACCTCTGTCTGGCGTGAGACCAGTCAGACCCGCAAAAAGCCCCTCAACCTTTCAGCCTTTCATCTGCTGCTGCAGTGAGAGCGAGTGAACTCATGTAGCCTTCTACCTTTTACCCTGTTCCTGTCCCACCATCAGCGCCCTGCTGCCGCTGAAGTTCTCCAGAATCCCGAACCCTGTTGATTTTCCCTGTGAGGAACACAAAGCCCTCCCTCGCTTCAGGTTCAGATATGAGCGTTTTATTGTTGCGCTGACTCTGTTGTGCATTAGTGCTGAGTCATTTTCCAGATAATAGGTGTGGCCCTCGACTTTCGAGTGAAACAAGCTGTTTTGTGATGATTTTCAAGCCGTCCGTCTGCTGCGGAGGGGAAAGCACTGAGAGCGAGAACAAAGACGTGCTCGTAGGTGTGTGCTCGCATGTGTTTCAGTCAAACGAGTTCCCACCGTGTGGCCTTAATGATGCAAATTCTGCTGTTGTTCTTCATCAGCGCTGGTTGATGTGCTGACGTCAGGGGTCTGGGTTCGCAGACTCACCGGAGGGAGCTCAGAAACCGTCGCATGAGGTCATTGTTTCATCCTCAGACCGCCTGTAGCTGAAGAATAGTTCAATGCGATAATATGGGAGGAAGACACCTTTAATGATAGAAGCAACTCCAGAGCGTGAGCTGGTTTCAATGCAGGATGAAAAACTCCAAAAATGAGTCATCTAATCCACTTAGAGCATGCTTTTGTATGTCTGAGAATACTTTAAAGTAAAATGAACCACATTTAAAGGCTGAACATGAGGAGTCAGCAACATATTTGTATTAGTTTCATGTTTTGTTTTGTTTTTTATAATGTGTGTGTCACTCAGGTTGTGCTAAATGAAATAATATCTGTTAGCCGCTAAAGCACAAATCGACTGGCAGGATGTTCAGGAGACTTTAAGGTCACTTTGTGGTCAAACTGTCCTTGGATATTTCAAACCCAAACAGCACATATACACAGAATGTGATTTATCGAGTGTTAAAGGAGAAATGTTTGCAGCTTCATATGATCGTATTTGCTCTTATGTTGAACAGCAAACATCAGTGAAGCTTTCAGAGTAACAACAGAAGTGCAGAAACTCTGATTCACTTACAATAAGCTCACAGTTCCCGTCTTTACGACCTCTTCAGGACTGAACCCGGCTCTCTGTCTTGTCCCGTGATTGACAGTTGCCATGACACGGCGCCCTCTGCTGGCCCCGGCGGCGTCCTGCACCAGAACCTCCCGCTGCTATTGTACTTGCAACAAAGGAGCAGAGCCAACAAAGCTGAAACACACACACACACACACACACACACAGGAAACACAAAGGAAAGCATGCTTCCCTTTGTTACACACTCAGCCTGTTATTTCAGAACAAGCACAGTTGCGACACCGCTGCTGTTGTTGACATTGCGATTTAAACAGACGCAGACAGTTAATAAACTCAACCGGGAACAAATTGTTAAAACCCCCTCGCGGCCAAAACATTCAGTTTTTCAGGATTTATGGCTGTTTTGCAATGAGCAACACTCAAAAACATACACTTTTTATGTCTCCAGTAGGTTGTCGTAGCTTAAACTCCTGCAGTTTATTGACATGTAAAGGTTCCATCTCTTTTAGGGTTTCTTTGGGAAGCAAAACAGTGTTTACAGCATAAAAACATGACAGAGTTTGTGCATTAACTTTGACATATTAACAACTGTGGTGTTTTTTATGGTAAAGACACACAAATATACACTCTGGCCCACTTTTCTGTCCACTAAGGAGCCTCCTGAGTGACACACGGTAGAAAGAAAAGTGGATTGAAGTGTTTATCTTTAATGCTTTTGGTTCTGTACATCTTTGTTGTTGTTCACATTTTGGATTTTTATAACATCCTAGCCTTAGTTTCTCCTCTACTTAAACTGATTGTCTTAAAGTTTTGTAAGTTGTGGGGGCTTTAGCCTCTCTGAAGTCACACTTTTTGGACTAAATAAAAACAAACTAAACATCTGTAGACAGAAAACTATTCAGAAAAACTTTATTGTGAAATTCTCACCAAGTTTTGAAGCGACAAAATGACAAAATAATTAAACCTAAAGGCGGTAATGTTAAATGTTGACAGTTTATTTTGGACTTTAAGGTTCAGCTGATGGTCCTGACAGAACCTTAAGTGATTATTCTCAATACAGGAGAAAACTTAAGCAGTAAGAAACTGATTTTGAAGGTTTGCAGGTTCAAATCTGTGATTGTAGCACATTTATCGACAACACTTTGAAATATTAAGTGAACTTTAACTGTTTTAAAGTTATTTTTAGAGACTTCCAAAGTGAAAAACGTCATCCTGCTGCTTTAGTTGTCGTCCTCATGTGTGTAATTTTTCGCTGCTGTTCTGTTCTAACATAATAGAAAACACATCTGAGGCGTCTCACAGCATCGGATCACATTCACCCGAATAATCCACGTCTAATCTGATGGTCTACTGTTCTTCCATATCCTCTAATCTTTCCAATCCATATTCCTCCTCTTTCAGTATCGCTATAACATAATCTATACTAACGCCTTCCTTCCCCCAAACAAACTGCCGTTAATGTCTGGATCACCGTGTAAATCCTCTGATGTGGCCGTAATCTGCGGCTCTATAGCTCTGACCCCTGACACGGCGTCGGGGCTCTTCGCCGTCTGATCTGTGTGCAAAAAGTCACAGAAGTCAAACGTAATGTAGAATTTAGAGTTAAATCAAGCATTCAGAACTCCAGGTGAGTGTTCAGCGACACATAAACAACTGTTTTCTGCTTGTAGCTGCATGATTTCAGAGCTGGACGTAGAAATGAATGTGCAGAAGAGTGTTTGCTTCTTTCTGTGACACTGTGCAGAGATTTAAGCAGGACCTGACTCCGAGCACTCTGTCACATCACATCAGTTTACAGTCTCCAGTTAAATACATGCGACACATGTGGGGGTTTAAAAGCTTATTTCAATATGACACCTCGGTGTCATTCGGTCAGTTCGTTCCCAGCACTGCTCCGCTCTTAAATGGTTCAACTGGGAGGATTAAGATGAAATTATTGCATTTCTATGCTCATTTTGTCCTTAAGGATGAATTATAATACACACTGACTCTCCATTGTCCTCCACAGAAAAGTCTGACGAACAGATGTTTAAGTTTTTTGTATTCGGATGAATTTTTCTGCACCAACAAAAACAGAAAATTGAACATCAGATGACCGTTCAACGCATCTCCGGTGTTCTCTCCTCTGTCCTCGTTTATGTTTCTGTTGATGGATTCTCTCATTTGATGATCTCTGCTGAGGCATCACACAAGCAGGATTCACTCTTCTGTCATTTGAGTTGTTTGTTCGGTGAAGAACCTTTTTAAATGCACATCTGACTCCTTCACATTCATCATCATTTGATTCTTTCTGATGAAACGCACGTGTTTTAACGAGACTTCTGCACATCCAAAACAAACAAAGTAAACAGACCTGCTGCTGCTGCTGCTGGACGGGTTTCATGCATTCTGGACACTGAGGAGGATGCCGTGCAGATTAGCAACTGCTCTTATGCTAACATGCTAAGCTAAGTTACATTAAGCTCAGAGCACTACTGTGCACATGGGCTCGCTGGAGCTGCTAGCAAAGCTCTATCTTTGTAAGACTGAAAAACATTCTTCTTCCTTTTCTTTTATTCCTTCTCTCCACCAGAATGTGTAGAAAAAGCTTTAAAACAACACTTCTACCATAATTTAAGGGGGTTTAAACTACAGAAAACAGAATTATTGTGATTTTTTTGTGGTTTATTTAAACAACAGTGACTTTATTCGTTTTAAACAAACCCTCTGATGTGTGGTTGTGCTGAGTGAACATCAACCTTCAGCCTTCATACATCCATCCATCCATCATCTATACACTGCTTAATCCTCACTAGGGTCGTGGGGGGCTGGAGTCTATCCCAGCTGACTCAGGGCGAAGGCAGGTTCACCTGGACAGGTCGTCAGTCTGTCACAGGGCTACACTTAGAGACAGACACAGCCTTCATACAATCAACCCTAATTCAATCCAACCTGAACTTTTTTATTTGTAAACACTCGATGTTTGATAAACTTCATGCAGGAAAAGGTGGATGTGTTGTGTTGTATCTGCCTGGTTTGTTTGGAATCGTATAGTTTCACGCTGTCAGCCCTCTAAAGTTGGTTTAATTGGATTTTATTGACCTGCTTACGTGACTTTGCTTCATTTGGAGACGAAAACACTGAGAACTACTTCTTTAATGCAGGTACACCTTTTCTGAGCACGTGGTGAGCGTCAGTATATGTACACACAGTGAAGAGTGAGCTGCAGAGATAATCCTTCAGAGCCTCCAGGACGCCATCTGTAGACATGAAACATGGAGGTTTATTCTCTGTTGGACCACTAGAGGGCGCTGTGGGCTTTTTAAAAGCACAGCTTGTGGAAAGTAACAGAGTAGATTTACTCAAGTACGACACTTAAACATAATTTTGCGTTGTTTGTATTTCTATTTTCTGCTACATTCGACCTCCACAACATTACAGTTTTAATGCACTACATGTATTTATCGGTTAATTTAGTTTAATAATAAATAAATGATGACGTGTTATTATCGATTATCCAGCGTCAGGATTAAAGTGATGAACACATGAATGCATCAGTAGTTTTAATCCAATATTATCCACTATTCTGAAATATACCAATGAGCCCCTTTACCTTTGTTTTAATGCTTTTATAGTTTTAGTTAAGCATTATTTTAATCAATCTTTATTTATTTATAGAGCACTTTTCATACAAAAAAATGGAGCACAAAGTTCTTCACATTTAGAACATTATTTGTATTTTTTTAATCACTAAATTTTAAATGCCTTGCTTAAGTATTTCTGGCGTTGATACTTTTACTATAATTTATTTCTATTTGTGTTGACTCAGTGACTGGAGAACAGTAAGAACAAGAACAAACATTTACAAGCACCAAACCTTTTATTGCAGTGTTTGCCCGACGAGTTTGATGAGAACAATAAAGACCTTAAAGGGATCATTAAATCTGAGTAAAATAACAAAGTGATGATGTCGTATTTACAGTATTTTCAAGTTTGTTTCCTACTATGAGAACACACACACATATTTATATATTTATCTATATACATACAATATTTACAAAATAGAAAACACAGCTCAATGGAAAATTGTGGAATAAAAAGTACATTTCAAACCAACAATGATGAAACCTCCTGCAGTCATTCAGCGTTTAAATCAACCTACAGGTTACAGCTGTACACGTTTTTTGAACCACATGGACTGATGAGACAATAAAATAACAGACAGGGAACATTTTCTCGCTGTAGGTTGAAAAGAAATCCACAAATCTGACTTTGGATGAAGCTAAAATTTGGCTGTGAGGAACGAAAAGTAACAGAAATCCTCTGAGATAATTTCAGCCTTTAATGATCCAGAGGAGGTTTGGTGAAGCATATTCTTTTATTACTATTAATTGTATTCAGCAGAAGAACGACCGAACAGAGGAGTCAGTGTTGCCTTTGGAGACGTTAGACGAGAGAGGAGAGAACGTTGGATGGTTTGGGTTCCACTGGTTTAACCATCATGATGGAAGATTAAACAGTTAGTCGATAGTTAAATTTAACTGGATCAAAGTGAACCCAGTTTGGGTTCTGGAATGGGTGAACTTTACCCAACACCTACTGGTAATTTACTACTTCATGTCAGATTCAGACAATACATTTCTCTCTAACATAGGTTGTGGGCAAATCGCTAAAAAGACGAGGACTTCCTGTGTCTTTTACACTTTTCTCTAAATGCAGTGGAAACGTCATCAGGTCCAGGACAGAGAATTCAGGAGAGAAGTGAGAAGACCATGCAGCGGTGGATGTTGCTGATGTGGGTTTGAATTCTGCGGCCACAACGTTGTCTCGTTTCTTTTTGGATCCAACGGAGACAAGAAAGGAAGCACTGAAGCGAGAACTAAACCAGCTCTTATCTTAGTCAAGAATCTTCCAAAGTTAAAGGACTGTCGTGTCAAATCGACTCGTCTCGTCCCTCTTTTCTTGTCACCTCTCTGCTGTTCAGTATCCAAGTAACATGTGGTGTTTATCGAGTGCACCGTAAAGTCTCCCCCTCACCTCTCCTGTTCCTCCCTTCAGCCGGACAAACACTGGAGTGAAGGAGGAGAGATTAGCTGCTGCTCTGCTGCTGACCAACACTTTCTGCAGATCCCTGCTTTGCTGAGTCACCGCTTGTCGACCTCTAAACATAGTTCCACATCGGACTTCATCGCCTTACTTAGCTCGAGCTGCTAACACACACAGTATAAACACACAGTTAATCTGAACTAGCGTTTTCCTCTCGTTAACGTCTCCCGGTGGATGAACACTGGGAGAACTTTTAGGGAAACGTCAGGAGGACTTTGGTGTGAGAAGTTGCACACTCGGTCCTCAGAGGTTCACGATGTCGCTTGTGTGCAACGAGATGAGTCTGTTTCCTACTCGAACTCAAGTTCAGGCAAAGCTGTGAGTTACAGGTCGGTCAGTGGTGCGCCATCATGACGTTGTCTTCGTCTTCAGGAGCGTGGAGTTGAGTCACGACGCGGACGTGAGACAGCTTCTTCACGGCCTTGTGGAAAACATGTTTCACGTCCTTCGATGTAGAGACGCTGATGCGAGTGCTGAGAGGAGGAGAGAGGAAGGACAAGGAAGAAAGACGGACAGATAATTAATACAAGACTGGAATGGAAAATTTGAAAAGAAATTATTGAAGGAATAGTTCAACATGTAGGGAGAAGTTATTAGCTTAGCTTAGCTTAGCTTAGCTTAGCTTCAAATCTGGAGACAGACAGAAGCAGCGACTTTGCGTCACACTGAGGTTGCAAGAAGCACCAATCATTTCCTTAGAAATGTGTTTTTAAACTCGAATCCTGACTCTCGTGCTTCATTAAATAATATAGATATGTACAAGTAGTATTAAAGTTCATCCTCCAGTGATCATTTCCCAGGATGCTGAGCTTCTCCTTTGACCAGAGCAAGCAGAGGAAGTACAAACATCTCAGCTGCTAGCATCAGACGCTAGCAGTGTTTACATATAGATGTGCCAAGACAACCAAAAATCAGACATCTATTGTCCTTTTATTCATTCATTTTGATTCTTAGAATGTAGTTGTCAGAATGAAGGTAACTGTTGAGGTAGGATGGATTTTGTCTGCACTTTGAAGTCAAACCAGACAAATTAGTCACAGAAAATAAAAGAGAAAACACAAAAGAAGTGACGGCTTCTGAATAGAGCAGCTCGTCAGCTGCATGAGCGACAAGTTGGAGAAACTTTTTGTTCATATTCGAGACTTATGGGGTGAACGGATGCAACACATCTGAGAATGAGGAAGTCTTTAGTCCCTATTAGTACCTAATAGTCCTTATCAAAGCCTCGGTAAAGGATCTGTAGGACAGTTTTGAAGAAGCAACATCACATTTTAGATCTTTGACTTGAGCCCTGATCGGTCACTGTCGGCTTGTTGCTGCTGTCAAACAAAAAGCTCCTTTGTGGAAGAATTCTTCATTTGTTTTGGTTTGTTTCAGAAGACCTGAAGTTTACGAGAGTTTTTCGAGTGACAGCAGCAACATGTGGCATTTTCTTTTTTAAAAAAACTTGTAAAGTAGAAGAACTGAGTTTTGTCAGTGACGAGAAAGACGCGTTTGTTTGTTGTTGTTTTTTATCTTACGGACAAAATCTCCACATAAATCCGTCATCTGAACTGTCTGCAGACGTCACGGTTTCTGTTTGCGTTCACTGCTATCTTGACCAAAACACACGTTTCAGAATATCTCCAAAATAACTCTTTCATGTAAAAGAAACTGGTGCTCAGAAATAAAGTGCAGCAGCAAAACTCATATGTGAAAGAAGTATGATGGCTAATTTTTGATTAATTCGTAAGATAAAAATACGTTATGCTGCACTGGATATCTGTTTAATCTGAGCCGCTTCTTGTTGTGGTCAAGATTTCTGCCTAAACTTTGAACAGGTCGTGTTCAAGATGCAACTAAATGCAAACAAACCGCAGTGACACCTTTAGACAGTTTGTCCCCGAACTATGTTTGCCAAAGGACGAGTCACGTTGCCGACCAAGCCAGTAATGTTATACATTTTTTAAATAATGCATAACATTACCTCAGTTTTTCTTCTTTGCAAGTTGTTCCTGCTGTTGCTTCTCGGCTTTCCGTTTCTTGTACTGGGCTATCTCGGCCATCTGCAGCCCGTGGGCCATTTGCCTGTTGAGATGAAGTGAACAGCATGATCACAGCACACAAACACACACACACACACACAAACACACACACACAAACACACACACAAACACACACAGACACACAAACACACAAACACGAGGCACAATCAAGAGGTTTGGAGACTGCACCCATATAACACAGAAAGCAAACGGGATTTGACTTCAGCTGCTTCGCCTTCAGAGTCGTCGTGCAGCGCCACGCTGCTCCCAGCGCTCCTGCACATCCCTTGAGCTCACAAGGGCAAGTTTGGGATCCATGGTGAAAATGCAGGATGGCAGGATCACTGGGAGCAGTGTATCGCTGCACAAGAAGACTTCTTCAAAGTGGATGGCAGCCAAATTTAAATCAAGTTCTTTTTATGAGCAAAATCCTGGAATTTCTTGATTCCCCCTTGCACTGTAGTCCTGCAATGGCACAGCTGTTTGTTTCTCTGCAAAGAACAGGTTGGCCAATACGTAGATTTCTAGTCGAATGCAGACGTCCACAGTTTTAACACAGAGGAGGCCTTGAGGGTTTTAAAGGAAAGGCTGAATGATGCCATCATGTGCTGTTTATGTAAAGATCAGTGGCTGAACACTATCACAGATTGTACGACACCATCCTGACCAAAGAATTAATGACGATGGTTGTTTATTTGCCCGTTTATCCAACAAGAACCAGTTGTGGCTGTCAGGAGAAGCTGCTTTACATTGATGTACTGAGAGGAGGTCGGGGTGGATGGAAGGGTGTGTGACGAACTGCATCTTAACCAAACATTTTGTCAGCGTTTTTGGTCTGAATTACGGTTGGTTGTTCTTTAAATAGTTGTATTCAGTAAGCTTAAGCTTGTTTTACGTCCAACCTTTGGAGCTTTCCTGACATTTGTTTTCATTAGTTATTTAAAGTAAATAATCACGACTGAGGAGCCCAAGAGATTTAGGAAAAGTCAAGTTTCCTGCAAACCTTTTCCCTCCAATTAAACATAAATATTAAAATACAACTCTAGACAATATAACAGACCAGTATTTTTGAATCTAGTCAGTGCTGGGACATCTACAATGGCCACCTGAGGACCAGCGTGGGAGTGGTTTGTTCTCAAATCTGAACAGCGTCTGAGGATAATTTAGACGAGCAGACTCAGAACAGAGACAGTTCTGGGTGTAAAACGCTGAGATGAATAAGAAAGAGGGAGTGACAAGAGGAGGAGGAGGAAAGCAGGAGGTGGAAAGACAGTAACTCGTACCCGGACTTGACTTCTGGAGGAACTGGCAGAGGTTTGGTGAATCCATCTCTCCCTACGAGCCAGTAGGTCTCCTCTACTCCTTTCCCCTGAGAAGGACAGAGACGATGAGAGCCTGTGGATCCAATCATGTCGGTGAAATCTTGATTATCTGTTAAATAGTTTTACCCGAACTTCTGTCCTGCCTCTCAGCTCCACCTTGTAGCCCAGATTTAATTCCCGCAGGACCTTCACTGTACTCTGGTGGACGTGGATCCTGTAGGCTGGAGCAGACAAACGGAAATAACCAAGGACAAGACTTCACAGTGCTGCCAGCATGACACCATATCACTTCTATTTTCTCTTCTATGTTTTCAGCGTGGGATCTGACTGTCATGTAGATTTACATCAACAACAGGAGTGCAGCTCCGTGTTATGTTCATTATCAACCACTTAGATTAATCACATTGTCAATCAAATGTCAGCATATCCAAAAATCGCTTCTTTGATTTGACCGAATCTCCAAAATATTCAGTTTCCTAACAGATATGACAGACAGTTACGAAGCGAGAACGAGCAAATGTTCTGTGTTTTTACCCCTGAATGTAATAAAGTGCCGTCTTTGGTATTTAGTTCAAAGTCAAACACCAACATCTTAGTCTGCGTGTTTGACTCTGGAGGTGTTTCACTTACGCAACCCGCTGGACTCCATCCGAGAGGCCGTGGTCACCGTGTCTCCAAACAGACAGTAGCGAGGCATCGTGAGGCCGACCACGCCTGCCACACACGGACCTACAACACACACAGCGTTTCCATCACTAAACGCACTTACATTCATTTTCTGGAGACCTAAACTTACAGAAAGTTCTAACTCTGGGAATGTAAAGATTATCGTTTGATCATTTTTTTGCACATATGTTATTTTTAATTGTCACAGTCTAAGTTTGGTTTCTTTTTCAGTATCTTTGGTCTGTTATTTTTCCTTTCCTGAGTTTTCAAATCAACTATCTGTTACTTTTGGAGGTGTTTATAAGCTTTTCTGCTCGCCTGCCAAGCCATTTCACAGAGCACAAGTGTTCAGACTGCCTTGGGGTGAAGTAGCTGGTGGTTTAAATGATATTGTGTCAACAAATGTGCATATTCCAGATGTCAGGGGTCATGCTGGTGCAGTGGTGAGTTCTGTCGCTTCTCAGCAACCTGCAGGCCAGACGTCATCCCCTGTGTGGAGTTTGTAAGTTCTCTCTGCTCAGGGTTTCCTCCCACAGTTAAACGACACTTTGACAGAGTTGTAGTTCTTCCTTGCTCACCTGTGTGCAGGCCGATGCGTATCCTGACAGGAACGTCAGGCATGTGTCTCATTTTAAAGGTTCCCACAGCGCTCAGGATGTCCAGCGCCATGTTGGCGATCTCTGCGGCGTGACGGTTGCCGTTGGGGACAGGAAGTCCTGACGCCACCATGTAGGCGTCACCAATCGTCTCCACCTGAACCAGAACAGAAGAGGTTAGTCCTCATCCAGTGAGGCTGCAGCAGAAATAAATACAAGATGTTCACCTTGTAGACATCATGGTTTCCAATGATGGCGTCAAAAATCGTGTAGAGGTCGTTGAGGAGGTCGACCACTTCGATGGGCTCGCTGTTGGCTGAGATGGTGGTGAAGCCGACGATATCGCTGAAATACAGCGAGACGTGGTCAAAATGTTCTGGTTCAACCGCCCCGCCCACCTTCAAAGCCTCTGCCACGGACCTGTAGGAGGACGAAGGTAGAACTGTAGAGACTGACTGATAATGAATCTGTCTGTGTGCACCAGTGAGTCGACGTACGGAGGCAGCATCTGTGTCAGCAGCTTCTCTGTCTTCTGTTTCTCGATCTCCAGCTCCTCTGTTCGCTCCCTGATCAGCTCCTCCAGGTTGGACGAGTACTGCTCCAGCATCCTCAGCATGGAGTCAATGATGTTGGTCTTCTTCCCCTTGTTGATGTTCTTAAACTGGACAGAAAGAAGACTCTGATAAGCGACACTCCCAACGCAGCTCAATCTCAAATTCTACCAAAGTAAAAATATCAATTTCAGTTCTGAACAGTACGAACATCTACGAGTCTGAATCAGCACCACAAACTAATCATGGTACCTGGTCGAAGATCTCGTCGAAGGTGGGCCTCTTGTCTGGCTGTTCGTTCCAGCACTGCTTCATCAGCTGGATGCACTCGAGAGGAGCGCAGTCTGGGCTTACCGCAGGACGGCACAGAGGAGGAGGCTTCCGCACCTTCTCGATGATCTCTGAAACACACAAACATCAGCTGTTGTGTTGAGATGTTGCTCAGTCCAACACCTTCATCCAGACTGGAACATCTTGACAGCAGTGACACAGATAGATCCATTAACGTCACACATTTACAGTCTTACAGTCATAATAACTTCCTGACTTTTTATGTCTAAGTAAGTGTGAAGGTCCACATGTGGTGCCATTTTGGAGGTTCAGTATCTGCAGGAGTGTAACTCCCACTGCCGTGACATTTTGCTGATGACAAGACAGATTAGTTTGCATGAGATTTGAATAATTAAATGGCTCCAGCAGAGGCCAAGTTTTTAATTGTTGGCCTTTAAAGATGGAAAAAAGTGGAGCATTTTTTAAACAATGAGGGTACTGGAGCCCCAGAACGCTCCTGTAAGCGTGCATACAGGGCTGTATCCATGTTTCCTACCAAAATATGCAGTCTTTAGTTGACATTTCACCAACTTTTGAGGCTCTAACATTAGTAGAATAATATTTTTTTGCTATTTTATCATGACAAAATGGTGATGTTGACTCATTTATTAAGGAAACTGTGCATGTATGTGCAAGGTTAGCATCCAAAGACAGTTCCTCCTATAAAATGAAGACTGCTAAAATGAGTTGAAGCAGATTTGTGGACCAACTGATGACATCTAACAACTTGATTTGTTCCGATTTACAACAAAAGAAGAGTGGCGCTGAGTTGTGCTCGCTCACTGTTAAATTTGCCACCTCTCACAGAAACGTGTCCATGCATAAAACTACTGTTAAACAACTGGATTTAGACCCAGAGTGCAGGTTTGTTGTGTGTTTGTGAAGCTTGTATGAGCGTTGGTCTTGCCTGCATCAGACAGATCCATCAGGCAGAACGGAGGCCCTCTCATCACCACCTCCTGCATGATGATGGCGAAGCTGTACACGTCACCGGGTAGAGTCCCGTGGAGCCCCAGCTGGCTGCTCCTCAGGATCTCTGGAGCCGTCCACAGCAGCTCTGCAAACACATAGAGGGGCGTGAGTTTGACCACTGGAGGACAAATCTGGACCCTGAAAGGATCGACTCTACTGCTCAGTCTCACCGTCTGGACGTGGTTCGGTGAAGGGGAACCTCTGAGCCTCCAGGACCTCGGTGTACCCGTAGTCGGTGACCTTCAGGACAAATCGTCCGTCCACCACACAGTTACGGGACTTCAGACGGCTGTGACTCACTCCGCGGTGATGGAGGTACTTCATACCCTGAGAACACAAATCAGACCAGACCAGATGGTACGGTTATATGTCATGTGCTATTTTCCACTGCTATGTGTTTTTTATTAGCTGCCTCTCACCTTGATAAGATCCAGCAGCAGAGACGACTTGAACATCCAGTCCAGTTTGACGTCTTCGTTGAGCAGCAGGTCCTCCAGGCTGCCTCTGGAGCAGAACTCGGTCACGATGGCGAATACGCCACAGTCGTGGAAGTAACCCAAGAAAAGGTTCACGTTCTCATGACGCATGTCCTTCATCTGCAGACAGAAACCATCTGAGTTGACGTTTTTAAAAGTGTCCAGCTTATGTGCTCCCACAAGCTGCAGCAACAGGACGGCACAAAACCGTAACATTCAGCGCAGCCCATTAAACAAAGGTACTGAGTTTAGCTGCAAATAATTTAATTGCTGATGTAATCTGATGGGAAGGACTGAAATAAAAGTGTCATATAAATGTGGACAAGGTAATGTAATCATAGACTTCACTGACCCACTGATTTTCTGTCATTATCAGTGAATAGAAAAGATGCAAAAGGTGTTAAAGTTCATTCATGTGTCGCCTTCAGTGTCTTAAGAAGCATCAATATCAATGTTTAACTGACCTCTGCCCCCTTTGTAATATGGACGTTTGGTAGTTTTTCTCTCTCTCTCAGTAGTTTTAAAAGGTAAAGGAACAGATTATGTATAAGAGCCGGTGTTCTTAAAGGTATTGATCCAAACTGTTCCTTGCTTCAGATTCACATTAAAACACAAAATGCAGTAAACGGATTTTAATCTCTTCAGCTGACCTGCATCTGGCTGCTTGAATTCTTGGGAAACTTTTAACTAAAAACACATCTCGTCTGGGTGTAAATATAATATTCTTTGACCTAAACATCTCTGTGTGTCAGCAGGGTCACGCACCAGTTCAAACACGTCGCTGGTTTTGGGGTTGATGCTGCTGAAGGTGCCATCAGGAAGTCTCTTCAGCCACGCCCAGTCCCCCTGCAGGAGACGAGCCCACACAGCATCTTTTACAGCCAGTACAGTAAGAGAAGCCTTTTCATCTGTTATCATGTTCCTGTGATAGTTTCAGCACCAGGAGACACTTTCTGTCTCACCCCCAAAATGACGACGTTAGAGTTTTCGTATGTGGCCGGCGATTGGCTGGAGACTGGCGACACGACGCTGCGTTCAGAAACGCTCTTCATGCCGCTGGCCCTGCTGTCGTCCAGACTCAGCTTCTGTTGAGAGGAAAGTGTTTTAAACAGTTTTAGTCTTAGCGCGACAGAAAACCACCTGTCTGTGGATTTATTTAAGTGTAATCAACACTAAAACTTATGCGGCTGCACTTTTATGATGGATAGAAATAAAAGTCGGACTCCAACAAGATGCCAGATGGAGGCTAACCTTGTTGCTAAGCGACGGGTTTATGAAGGTGACATCAGCCAGAGTCAGCAAGATCTTGTTGGGACCTCTGACCAGTCGGATCTGGTTGATGCGTCGCCTAGGCAACAAGAGACAAAGGAGGATGTTGACAGTCAGTCGCAGAGTAACTGACCATAAAGAAACAGTCACATGTGATGGTTAGCTCATCACTTTACACCTCGAAATCATTTTATAGTCATATTTCAGATCTCCCAGGCCCAACTGAAGCCCAACAGGAGGCATGAAAACCCAGTAACCCACCCAGTTCTTGTTTACTGGTTCCAGCATTACAATTTCCACAGAGCTCTGATCTGTGGGTCTGTGATTAATGCTAGCGGTAACGTTAGCCACATAGTCACTCAACATGCTAACATAAATGGTTTTTTCCAATTGTTGTGGTGACACTACTATCAAAAGATAAAAGTAATCCACTGCGTGTTCAGTTCCTCAGATGCTGGGAGTGCATGCAGACGCTTGTGTTCACTCGTGCAGCCAACAGGTTTGTTTGTGGCTCAGACTTTTTGGCAGCTGTAGAACGTAAATGAACCGAGTGGACTGAGAGGCAGCTGCTCTTCTGGATGGTTCACCTCAGAAGCAGCAGGCGCTGAGGGGGAAGGATTTCAAAGTTTGAGCTGGACGACTATTGGTTGGCTAGTTAGGTGTTAGGTAGCACTTTGGTCACATGGCCAGTTTGTAAAGCTATGAGGCTAACGACTTGTGAGGGGGCTTGAGGAATGTCAGAAGTTAATGCCTCCATATCTTAGCAACTTTTACATTTATAACAGCCACAAAACACAGAGACAATGGATTTTGAGTGCTGACTGTGTACCTGATGCAGTAAAGGGAAGCTGCAGCAAAAACAGAGGTGCCGATCGCCCCGAGGAACATGAAGATGGTTGAATACAGATCCACACCTGGAACAGAACAGGAAGAGCTGAACAAGTACCGAAAAAGAAAAAAGCTTTAATAGCTGCTACAGACGTCTTCTGTACCACACATCCATGGATGCACATCATCCACTGTGTTTGGTCCTCACCCCCTGAGCAGATGACTCCAGCAGTAAACCAGCAGGGGGCGTCCCTCCTGGGTCCATAGCCTCGAGGGAAGTGGATGTCTCGACCCAGGAATCGAACCATACCGGCCTCCATGTCGATCCTGTCATTGATCCGTTAGATCAGCGGTTATTTTAAGAGTTCAAGCGTTCTTTGACTCTTTTTACCGGCTTGTGACCCATCGTACCTGTACGTGGGCCTCAGCTGCCAGGACAGTCCGTCTGTGTCCAGGAGGACGTAGTCCAGCAGAGCAGCTCCAGAGCTGTTGGTTTTAATGGGATGGCTGAAGCCCTGCAGCACAAATGAGCCGTGAGTCTATAGCTGTCCTTTCTTTTGTCATTTAGTCAGGCCAGCAAGTATAAACCAGAAAGGATAAAGAGCTGGAGCATCATCTATGCACAGCAGGAGATAAATGAGTAAAATAGTACAATAACAATACAACCAGGAGATGTATGTATGTATATAGGCTTTTTATATTGTATTTTTTGCCTTGTTAAGTTCTGTCACTTTAATATCACACCTCTGAGTGATGCGTAATTTCTCTTGTTTGTCCTAATTTATACAATTAACAGCTCAAATGTTCAGTCCTCTTTGATTTTAAGGCCTCATTTACAGTAATTACATTCATCAAACTTCCTCCTTTTCCATTTTCGCCGTGAAGACACAAAACTCTAAAAACATCACTTCTCTGTTTCACAGCTTTTGGAAAAAGGTTTTACATGAACAGTCAGCTGGTTTTTATGCACACTAGTTTTACTAAATTGAATGCTAGCTAGAATATTGTCTCTCGTTTAAGCACACAGCGGTGGGGAAACATTTTGCAGGTTATAACTCGCATTACTTTTTTCAGCATTCTTCTCTGTTAAAAACTGCAACCAAAGCAGTTTGATATTCGTTCCTCGTGTCACAGTTTAAAGTCAAAATGTCTGTTTGGTTAAGCTTGATTCTTTTTGACAATTTCATGTCTGTCACTTGTACTTATGAACTTACAAGTGCTCAGAAATGCTGAGGGGACAAAAAGCATAACGTTAAATTTGGAGCCACTCCTTCGTACTTCAAAGGCCTGTAACTGCATAAAGGTCACATTTTGCATGACCTCATTAAATGTACTAAAGCTAAACAACTGCTGATTCTGAGGAGGTCAGGTCGGAGGCTCTGACTTGATGGAATGACGGTTTGTAAAAACACTGAACTCATGTTTTTCTTGGGTTGAATTGGAGCTTTTTTTTTCTGACTGACTTTAACCTTCAGTATAATAGACTTCGGTGTCCTCTGGGTACCTGGAAGGACAGGTTTCGGGTGTGTCGGGCCAGGTTTCCTCCAGACATCCACTCTCTGGCCTCCCGAACCCGATGCACAGCGTGAGCCATGAACAGGACGGAGTTGTAGATGGTACCAAACAGAGGAGACACCTGCGGCGACACAGATGTCAGTCGGCTGCTTTGTTCACCACACAAACGAAAACCCTCCTTCCCTTCCCTCACCTGCTGCGGCTTCAGCGTCCTGGCCACCTCTCCCCTCTCCATGGCTTCTCTGTAGGCCTCGTAGAACGACAGCCGCGGGGACTCGATGGTGACGGTCAGCACGGCGTCGTAGGCCCGCAGCAGCTTGCTGTTGCCCTTCAGAGCCGGGTAGGAGACGTTGCGGTAGGGCAGGCTGTAGAGCAGCGTGTCGTAGGGCACGAACACCAGCGAGCCGTCGATCATCTGCATGTCGTAGGCCGTCTCCAGCAGCAGCTTCTGGGCCGAGCCGCCGATCAGCGCCGAGTGCATGCAGAGGATCACAACTGGGAGGAGACAGGACAGCGAGCTTCAGGATTTAACACAGGCTGAAACTCCTTTAATGCACAAACACTTGGACCAAAGGCATGCCAACGTGACGATGGAATAAGGTTTGGTTTATATGCAGCATCACTGAAAGGCTTTAAAGGCATGTTGTCTTTAAAAATAAAACAAAACACCAATAATCAGAGCCGCAATATGTAGAAACAAGAACAACTGTCAGCTTTTAGACTTTCCTTGAACTGATATATGGTGATGTTTAGTCAAAACCCTCGTCTATGTGTCTCATTAATAACAACTGGCCAAAAACTGGCATTTTAGCATCTCTGAGTTCTGTCTCCGTCTTCATGGATGCAGGACTTTATGCTGCCGTGAACCAGTTTAGAAGGTTAAACCAAAAATAGACGATACACAGCAGCTCAGTACCGACCTCGTATTTCTCTCATCTTGCGGAGTTTGGCCAGAGTCCGTCTGATGCCGTGAGGTGTGTTTTCCATCAAACTGACCAGTCTGACCGGCATCCCGTGGCTCCGTAAGGAATCAGCCACCTGGACAAGACAGAGGAACAGAAGACCGTGAGCTCAGGGTGCTGAAAAAGCAAGAAAACACTGCACAGGAGCTGCACTTGTAGTAAACGCCCCTAAAACAGACACAGCTTCATGATTAGGTCAGTTTTCTTGAACTAGAACCTCGTGACACGAAGAAAACTCAAACCTTGGTAGCAGTTTCCACCCAGATGTCCTCTGAGGAGGAGATGATGCCAACGTGGGCCCACCTGAAGTAGCTCATGACGCTGATCAGCACCCAGGTGGGCCTCGCCATGGAGCGGGCGAAGGTCGGGTGGCTCCGGACGTCGTCCAGCTCGTAGCCGACACAACCCCAAGGAAACAGCGCCTGATGGAGGAGGAGAAAGCTGCTTAGGTGTCCTCCATACCTGAAATCTCTCTGAAACCCCTCACGATCCCGGCCTACTTTGTTCCAGCCTTTACTCAGCATTGAAGCAGCGTCACAGTAGCCGGGGTTGGCGGGTCCGATGTACCCCGAGGCCTTGGTGTGGAACCCAACAAACGCCTCCAGAGCCCTCGATGTCTCGCATGGCTCCTGAACACAGAGACGCTCAGTCGGTCAGTGATCTAAACACTAAAGCGTGAAGCGGAGGTCAGCCGAGTCCCACCTGCAGCACGTTGTAGTCGAAGGTCACAGCGTAGGACAGCGAGGGGTCCTTGTTGATGCGGTTGACTGCGAGCTGTGCAGCCACGCTGGGAAGAGCTTTGGCAAAGAGAGGGTCGCATCCCCACGGTCCCACCACCCCGACCCGATACCAGGCCGCCTGAGCTGGGCAGCAGAGGAGACACAGGGAGGCCAGCAGGACCAGGAGGAACCTAGGGAGGCCATAGATGGAGGGGGACCAGGGTGAAGGAGGAAGAGGAGGAGGAGAGGAAGAGGAGGATGGGTGGATGTCAGGAGATGTTTCTGGTGTCTGCTTCCATGTCCCAGGTGAGCAGGTGAAGGCACGACGCTGCGGAGGCATCTCAAGGCTCACGGCCCGCAGAGTTCACAGGAAGGAGTCTGGAGACGGTCTGAAGAGAAGGTGGAGAAGACATGTTGGGTTGTAGTTCAGTCAGTGTCTCCAGACTGCAACAACAGCTCATCTGGTACGATAGCGTCAGTATATTTAATGAAGCCCTGCAGAGGAATACTTTTGAGCTACAGACTCTGAAGTACAAAGAGGTGGGCTGAAAGTTGGCACTTTTTTATTTGTGCTTCGTTTCCATCATTTCTGAGCCTCAGAACTTCATCAGTAGAACAGAGACACATTTCAGGATGAAACACACATTTGAGTTCTGGTAAAATCTGCACTTTCTGCCAATACTGAACCAGGACTAAGGACTGGACAACTTTTGTTTTCTAACGCTGTGGTTTTGCTGCTTTGAGTCGAGTAAAGGAGTTTTTCTAACGCAGCAGCTACACTGTTTGGAGTTTTTCCTTTTAGAACCGTTCTACTGATAACGACATCGACTGAACCTTGTTTGATTAGTTTGAAACTCGGGAACCCAACGATATCTAAACGGCTGTACGTGAAGTTTTAATGTAACATCAGCTGAACTCCTGCAGGAGGTTGTGGCTCAGTCAGCTCTCACAGGATTATCTGATGCGTCTCTCTCATACTATCATAATCCTTCACGCTCAAAGCCATCTAGCCATTCTTCTTCTTCTTCTTCTTCTTCTTCTTCTTCTTCTTCTTCTTCTTCTTCTTGTTTCATTGAAGTTTTCCTACCTCGCATCGATGAGATGAACCGAAGCTGTTTCATCACTTCTCTTGTCGTTCACATCGTTCTGCGAGTTCCTCGTCCTCCTCATCATAAATGTGAGTCTGCGTCAGGTCTCCAGCTCATGCATCTGCGAGTCGACCTGGAACAAGTGTGTGACCTGCCCTGTCAGATTATGTCAGATCCAATCAGGACCTCTGTAGCTGCCGGCTGCACTGCCTGCAGAGGGGCAGTTAAAATGATGCCTTCAGTGTCATCATCAGCCTCTAAGTGTTATGTTTTCATGCACATTAGCTGCAAGAATTTCAGATTGTACGACACAGTCCTGCTTTAAGTGGCATGTTTACATCCATACTTTCTCTGAATTCATCTTCAGAGCTGCTCAGGTGTTCCAGCGGCTCACCTGGTTGAGCAGGAAGCGGCCAAGGATCCATTCTGATCCACGCCAAGGTTTGGTGCATTCAAACTTAACTGAAGGCTCCAAAATAAAAGAAGAGGAGCGACATTTGCGGGCTGCAAGGTGGCGCAGGTGGTTAGCATTGTTGCCTCGCAGCAAGAAGGTTGCCGGTTCGTGTCCCAGTGGGGGCACCGGGATCTTTCTGCGTGGAGTCTCCATGTTCTCCCCGTGCAGCGTGGGTTCTCTCCGGGTTCTCCGGCTTCCTCCCACAGTCCAGAAACATGTTGAGGTTAATTGGTGATTGTAAATTGTCCGTAGGTGTGAATGTGAGTGTGCTTGGTTGTCTGTCTCTAAGTGTAGCCCTGTGATAGACTGGTTACCTGTCCAGGTGAACCTGCCTTCACCCTGAGTCAGCTGGGATAGACTCCAGCCCCCCATGACCCTAGTGAGGATTAAGCGGTGTATAGATGATGGATGGATGGAGACATTTACAAAACCAGTTTGAAAGTCTGTCGGATTATCTGACTTTTGAGATTCGTCCCCGACAGCCAACTTCAAGCTGAAGTTTATTAATATTAAGAAGTGACGGCCTCAAACTTTTGGTAATTTACTGGTTAATAATAACGATAATAACATGTTTTAATTGCACTTTAATCAGGTTATTATTAAAGATGTGAGCTTTAATAATGGAATGGTTGCGTGGTTTAAAACTGACCAAACTCAGTGAAAAATATGCTTTAGTTCCTGCTTTAGTCAGATGGTTTCCATCACAGCACCGGGTGGCCTTTACAGTAAAACTTCACGAGACGTTTGATTACTTCAGCGGCTCCATCACCGGACCGGAGGAGAGCAGCAGCACATGTAGCCCGGCCTGGAGGAATGTTCTGCATAAGACACGAGGTATTTAATAGAAGATGTGGTTTGTTCTGATTTGCAGGTAGCAGATGTCTGCTTTGGCTTTTTAGTACCACATAGCGTCACACATGATGCAGACAGAGGCCGTAATCGTTCCTCAGCACATGTTAAATGATCCGTAAACTGTTTAACATGAGCAACAGCTTTAGTTTGGTTCTATTTAGGAAGAAGTATTTGAAAAGATTTAGTAAAAAACAGCCTTTTTTATGAGTAGTTTCTCCGTTAAAGCTCAAAAAATTTTATTTATTCTGCATAGTTTTGCTTTCTACTGTCCTTATTCTGACTTTTTACATCCAAAGTCACTCATCCTGTTTAAATAAACCAACCTTTGGTCAGAAAAACTACATTTTTAGTCAGTAAATAAAGTCTGACGTCTGTTCTTATTGCATTTTCCTCCACGCTGTACATATCATCCAGGACATTTCCTTCCATCGTACGGAGCTCCTGTGAAAGCTAGAGGGCAGCAAAACTCAGAAACAACAAGCAGCTGCTTCGTTCTGCTTTCTGGGGGAGTTTTCTGTTAACAAAAAAAAAACAAAAAGGAAAACAGAACTTCATCCTAAATGGGGCCAACATGAGGCCGATGGCTGCCTCCCTCTGAGTCCCTCCTTCGTTGTAAGACGCCGATAGAAGAAGTTGTTGCACAACGTTGCTGCACATTTCTCACACTTGGATTTAACTTGATTATGTGACTCAATCTGCTGCTCTTCTAATCGCCGGCCACACCCCGACATTTGGAGGAAAAATAACGTCGGTCCTCTTTAGTTTTTCCTCCAGTTTTGCAGCTCGATTACACACATCGCTGCACTTTAGGCGACGCCGAAGGCAGCACAGTAAAGTTACGCAGCTTGGTCATAATCTGTGAAAACAGCTGAAAACCAGGACAAATCAGTCCAGATGTGGAGCCGCTTCCTGCCAGATGAACTCTGTGACTCCTCAGCACACAATCAGACACGAGCTGCTCCTTAAAAAACCCCAAATCTTTACATTTGAACGTGAACTCGTCTCCTCGCCGGCGCCCTCATCGCTTCTGCTGTCATCACAAGAAGGTGCTGCTGATGAGGAGCTCCAGGAGGAATGTGGTAAACAGGAAACGGACGATGTTGTTGAGCCCTGATGGTCAAATATGACAGTTTTCATGTTTAGAGGTCAACGAACGTATTTATCTGCTTCGTTTTATTCAGATTGTCCTGCAAACACAGGAGATAAAGACCATCAAACACAAAGTCTCTCTGTGAAGTCAGAGCTCACTGAATAAAGCAGACATTCTTTAAATTAGCAGCTTACAAGCAAACGTGTGAAAAAAAATCCTCCAAAACGCCTCTTAAACTATTCTGTTTTATTTACAGACATTTCATCCCCAAAACAGAATAAACAAACATGTAAACGTTGTGCACAACAAAAAAACAAACAGCTTTCTGTTTCAAAGTGTGAGTGAAGCTTTGACTTCACCTACTGCTGCACACAGGAAAGTGTTCCTCCACTTTAAAGAGTCACAAACCAACAGTGAGAGCTCCAAATGACAAAAATACATCAATAAAAGAAGAATAAAATAAAATAAAAAATAAATAATGTGGTGGTATAAAACAATATTATATCAAAAATGAATCCATAAAAGAAAAGGTGAATAAAAGTAGAAAAATATATTTTTATTATTATTATTTATTTTTCTAATGAATATTTATTTATTTATTTATTTATTTTATTTATTTATTTATTTATTTTAAAGTCACTTTAAATGCAAAGGCACAACAACATTCTTAATGCACACACATTTCTGTGCATATTTCCTTTGCTTTTAAAGCGACATTATAAAAAAAAAATACAAAAAATAAAAAAACAATGAAAACAATTATTTAAGAAATAAATTTAAAAATAAATAAATAATAAAATAAAAGATTTTTTTTAAATTAATTAATTAAAATTAATTAAAAATAAATAATTGTTTTTATTATTTTATTTATTTGTCTTTATATTTCTACTTTTATCAGCCTTTTCTTTTGTGATTCAATTTTTATGAATATTTCTTTATACTACATTATGTATTTTTCTTTTCTTTTTTTTATTTCCATTTTTATTTTATTATTCTTTTACTGATTTATTTTTGTGATTTGACGTTCTCTCACTGCTTCACAGTTTGGAGCCTTTTTATTTAAACGATCATTACTTGATCTAATAAGAACATAAAGTGAAATATTTGATCTCTGCAGAGCATATCGTAGGATTTCCTGTGTTTCTATCGTCTGGACTTCATTCCTGCTGGTCTGCAGCAGAGTTCAGCAGCAGGTGACGGAACCGTCCTGATGGTCTCTTATATCCAGGTGTTGACAGTCGGCTCCGTGAGCAGCTCTTTGAATCGATCTCGGGCTCTTTTCTTTTCTGAATGGCACTTATCTTTATGAAACGGCCACTTAGCGCTCGCTGACGGAGGCCTCCTCGTTCTCAGAACCGACCGGCCCCCGAGCTGGAGACGTCTGAGGGGCCGGAGGGGCTCCACGAGGCCCCACAACTGGTCTCCACATTCCTGCAGCGGCGACAGCGTGCAGGAGGTTGGGTTGTTGTTTTCATGTTACAGTCCACTGAAACCCACTGAAGGAGCGATCGTGGTCGATCAAAGTGTGGCTTCACTGACCCGTCCATCCGCTCCAGCCTCCTCCCTGTGAGGCTGCTGCTTCTGTCGTCCACATGTTGGTATTTAAACAAATCGATGACGGTGTCGGTCAGAGAACTCTGCTGCTGGGCTGTGCTGAGGCTCACCTGGCTGACTGAGGGGCTGTCGTCCCCGATACAGCGCTCATGGGTTTGAGTCCCGCTCATGACCCCGTTGTTCCCCCCACACTTTCCTGTCTCTCTCTCTCTCTCTGTCCTCTCTAAAAAACAAAAGGCCAAAAAATAAAATTGCTGTTGAACCGTTTCCATGGTACGACTCTCGCTGTGTTCCATTTAAAC